TCAAAAATACTCAAGTTAAATAAGAGACCTTTTCGCATTTTATACGAGTCGTAAGTTTACTCTTTTTACACAACACAACACAACACTACTTCACCGAAATAGAAAGGATGAGATAAAAAAAACCTCTCTGACACGTTGAAAGTCTGATTTGATTGAATTGCACTTTAACTTGGTCCCACGCAGTCCTCAAAGAACATTTGAGCAGTTTTCATACTTTTTGCCTTTAAAAATATCGGACTGAAATGAATGTCATAAAATGCCCATCAAATAAAATATTAAACTGCTACTGAAGAGACGTAAAAACCGTCCGGAAATGAAAGCTTCTTTTTTGTTTAATATCCTGGGAACAATATTCGATAACTTGTCAGCTCTCTAATTGAATTTACTCCCATAGGAAAAACACTAGTGGGAACAAGTGGTGACGATTCGTCAGCTCTAATTGAATTTACTCCCTTGTGAAAAACAAGAGTGTCAAATTACCCTTTGTAACTAAAAAATAAAAATATGTCGTTATATTTGCATGCAACAAGAACAAAACAATCGTTACCTGCACTTACTATGGTAAACGTTAGAACTGTTTCAAATCTAAATAATCTCGTCTCCTCTAAAACATGTCCTAACAACTAGAAGCGACGATTCGTGACTTTTAATTGAATTTACTCCTTGTGAAAAACAAAAGTATCAAGTTACCTGTGTAACTAAAAATGAACATATCTCGTTTCATTTGCATACTACCGTGAACTCACGAACTGTTTCAAACCTCAAGGCTCATCTCCTTCATAACTAAAATCCTCAGCCTAACCCACAGAAAATGTCGAAGTAAACCCAATATATGAATACTTCCTCCTCTTTTATAGAANTGATTGGCTGTTTATAGTAGATCCAATCTGATTGGTGTGACATACATACATCTCTCACTCACTCACTCACGCACTCACTCACTCATCCATTGACCCATCCATAACAAACATACCCGACGCGCCGACTAAGCGGTATTTTTTTTGTAAAAAAATAACTCAAAAATGAGTAGCGTAGCCAAGCAGAGAACGGCATTCGTGATAGAACGCTAGTAGATTTATACTAAAATAATGTATAGCTCTTTTGCCAGTTCATATTTGTTTTAAATAAACTTACCTTCAAATATGGGCTTTAATTTAATTTAATCTAGAAAGATTGTTTTGTTCCAGCCAAGCCGAAACAATCTCTATCGGCTTTCCTACAAAAAATCTCTTTATGTCCAACAAGCAGTGCTTTACAATTGTGTTTGATAAACCACATGCAAGAAGCAATTTTTTTATTTTCCCCGCCCCTCTACCTCCAGGATAAGACCGTCTTAAACAATCCCCCACCCTCGGGCACGAAGGGCTGGACTTGTTCCGGGAGTTGCCCGGGGGGGGATGATAATAGGTGGAAATGAACGACGCAAAAAGTACAAGTAACAGTAAATAGTAGGAGGTGTAAAAGTGAGTGGAGTCCAGAGAAAGCATAGCTTGTATTATGAAATAGGGACAGGGACTCCACGCTTGCTCCAGGAAGATGAGCTCTCTTACATCATCAGACTGTGGTTTTTAAATTTTTTAAATCTTCTTTTATCCCTTACCCATCCCCGGGTCCAGTACAAATATCTTCTCTCAATCATCGCCCTTGAGCGTAGCGAGAGGCTGATCTTTGATCAGCGACGAAGTCGCGAACCCAAGCGAAACTAACAAAATGGAAATATAATTGGAGAGGACGTTTGAAAAGTCTAGTAGTTTTCTAGAACACGAAAATTTCCAAGAGCAGCTATGGGCTATGGCCTGAGACGTAAACGGTTAATTGTGTGTTTACGAAACGCTAATTAGTAATAAAGGATAAACTAAGCGTGTACTTCAAGAGACAGTTTAAACATCAACATAGATTGTTGTTTTAGAAGTATGAATATACAGTGGAACTCCGTTAATACAGTCACCAACAAGCCATGAAAATATAGCCGTTTTAACAGGGTGGCCGTTTTATTAAACGGCCGGGTAGTGTCAAATTTTTGATTGGTCTTAATAGAGTGACATCTTAACAGATATATTACTATTACACATCTAAACAACTGTTCTTTAAGAAGCTCCCAAAATGCAGGTATAATTAAAAAGAAAGATTGAAGATTTAATCAGTTCATGCAATATTAACCATGGAAATACGAAAATAACTGGTTTGAGTGGCCGTATTAGTTTCCACTCTAAGTATTCCAGACTGCTCGCAATGAACGCATGTATGCATTGCGTACCTATTCTTCATTCATGAGCTGGGGAAGCGGGAAAATTTGCATTTTGTCAACACCGCTTGTGGAACAGCTTCTGCGTCGGGTCCCTTGGTCGTTGACAAGGGAAAGCGCCTCGAACTGCTGAATACGGAACTGGAAATTTGCACTAACATGCGAAGTACATGATGGTCAGAAACGGAATTTCTTCGCAACTTAAGTCAAATGTAGTCAACAAGATGGATTTAAGTTGAGAATTTAAGCACACCAAGAAAATTGAATCAGGCATGCTGATGTCCGTGGTTCGCTTCTTTACAAGGTAATGGACTGCAAAAGTTATATCTGTTTTATTTTGACGGTGCTGTATAGTTCTTTGTGAGTTTAAGAAACGTTTTGGACTCTCAAACATATATAAGATGCAGATGGCAATGCTGAATTTATAAAAACATTTGAGCAGCCATGTTGGACTAATCGCCTTGTGAAGATCTGTGAATATTTATGATCTGGGCGTTTTTGAATCAGCAAGCTTTTAAATTTAAGCTTCATTTTAAGCTGAAATCACTGATTATAGTTGCTGAGAACGAAATAATTTTGAAACATGCTTTTATCCTTCCATAACTGCAGAAATTCTTGCTTGCTCATTGGCTATTTTCATTGTCAATAAGCGGACGGACACATGAATTTATAATTTATTGTAAAAAACAAATTGACGTCAGATTTTCATGCATCTGGTCTGTTATTATTATCATTATTATTATTATTATTATTATTATTATTGACTATGAATCTCATCATAACATTGTCAAAGTAGATCCACAGCTACTTTGACAATGTCACAACAAAATTCATGACAGATGCATGAAAAACTGAAGTCAATTTGTTAATTTCTGATATATGAATCAAAACATAAGCTTATATTTTGTTACTTAACCCACCGGCTCCCGCAGCTTTTTGTCAAAAATGCATTTTTTGGAGATTTTGGAGATTTTCGGGCTGGACATGGGCCAAATTAGCTCCAATCTACTCAAAAAGGCATTTGCAACATGACAGCATGCCTTTCCTTCCACTAGCATCGCATTTTATGACATTTTCAATTGGGCATGGGCGAAATAAATGTTGAGATAAGAAAGTAACCTATGTCTTTTGGCTTTTCATTTGGAGTAGCCACGTGCAGTCGCAGGAAATTTTGCTCTGAGTTTTTTCGCTCAAATTTCTGAGCATTTTTGTGCATATTTCAGGCTCCATTGAGTCAATCACTTTTATCTGGGTATCACTGGAAAGATCTTTTCCTCCTGCAGAACTTGAGTATAGATGATGCCAATTTTGGTCAAACATGATGACGTAAGAGGTGGAACAAAGCCCAATTTTTGTCACGGCCGATTACGGGCAGCATGGGAGTCAATGGGTTAATATGTAAATTCTGATTCAGTGTTTCATCATCAAGCATAATCTGGACCATTTCCCAAATTTAGACATTGAATTGATTTCTTTGCCAGTACGATCCATATTTAATATGTGATTTATTGATACAATGTTTGTTTATTCATTTTGAGTTTCCCAGCAGCTTTTTAACTACTTGACAAACAGTGCAACAATAATATTGGAAATTTTTTACTTTCAGGGCAAAGTAGGTAAGGGCAAAGTTTATTCCTCTAAGTACAGTATAAAGAGTTTTATCCATAAATTTATGTAGTTTTGTTTCCATTAGTGTGCATGCTTTGTCAGTGCTAGGTAAGGATGTGCTTCAAAACATGACATCACTGTAAAATGTTTCTTATTTGACCTTTACCTTTCTACTCCTTGATTTGTGAGCAGAATTATCATGTATTTATGAAAAGTACTTATTTATTTATTTATTTATTTATTTCCTTTCTTAAATAGTTTCTGGGAGATTTCACTGACAATGGAACAACTTCATTCACCATAGCACAAAGGTAAGTTGTGATGTGCTTTTTCTTTTATCAGTGTGATGTATTGCTCAGAACTGAGGATCCAACATTCCAAAGTATTAAACCATGAGAGAGCCACTTGCTTAAGAAGTTCCCTAAAATGGGTGAGCTGAAAGAAAGATGCTTCAGGCTTAAGGGTGCTTCCAGTATGCAAGTCTTGTAACTTGATAGAAAACATGCATGTATGGAGCCCTAGTAGTGGCCTGTTAGTCCAAACCAGTTTGATCACCCATTGTGCACAGTTCTTGCAAAGTGAACAATAAAGTCATTTTACTCTCACAGTGCCTCTGTCCAACCAAAAGTATATTTGTGTACCAGCAAATTGCAGGGGCCGCCAGACAGAATACTCACTTGGGGCATAACCTGTGATAGACTGTAAGAGTCTCCCATCCAGGGGTTGGCGGGGGGGGGGNACTCACTTGGGGCATAACCTGTGATAGACTGTAAGAGTCTCCCATCCAGGGGTTGGCGGGGAGGGGGCGGGGGGGAGAGAGTACTATTATTGTTTTCCCCATGCTGTAGGAGCATAATATAGTAGGCAATGTGGACCGTTTTGGTTGGCGTGCAAACTTTTAACCTTATTTGAAGCACAGTAATTATTTATATTTGGTGGGAAACATTCCAGATATCTCCAAAACTTGGCACCAGAAAGGATCCCCATCTGGAAATGATCTCAGAGCAGAAAATTAATAACTTCCAAATTAGAGGGCAAAATTACATGGAGTGATCTCAAACTGTAAAATGATCCCTGATTTGGACAGCAAATGATGCTAGATGGCATAAAAGCTCTTGACAAAATGAAAGCGGAGCCTTGAAACTTATTTGCAAGTCTACGTTTTAAATATTAAATCTGATTTTTAATAAGTAAACTCTGTTTGTTTGGGACTAACATTTTCAAACTTGCAACTAACTTTTCAGAAGAGGTCATAACGTTGCAACTTCATATATTCTTTTTTCAATTACAAGCCCTGCCAAATACAAGGAAGAATCCTCAGAAAAACAAGAAGAATTGGGCTCCTTAGAACAATCTGCCTGAGTATCACCAGGCCTTCCTTAGGGGATAGTTTAGGGGAGGAGAAGAGGAATGGAGGAAGGCCTGACACATAGGCATTGATAGACTTGTGTTTCCATTACGCATTTGTGCCCATTGAAACACGTCGGCACAAAAAAGTAGGGTACCCAAGATGCTCTGCGTGTCCATAAAGCTTTGCCACCATTTTTGGTTCCCTTTGACTTCAAAACCAGAACTCCCAAAAGGGAGTTAAATAATTCTCCCTCTATATCAACTGTGATATACCAAAAATGTTCAAAAGGTCATCAGTCATTTTAAGCAGAGCTCTCAAGTCTCACGCATTGCGTGTGAGACTCACACAAATGAATTCATTCTTGCGCTGTCATGCTGAAACTATCACATAATCTACTACTTGTTTGCTTTGTGCTCGCTTTGAGCACTTTCCTGCAGTAGGAATTTTTGTGCAGAGCTGCTTAGAATGAAAGAAAACACATCTTAGCTTCTTCAATTTTTCAAAATTTTCTAGGGGACATGCTGC